GAAGCACCGCCTGCCTTTAGATCTTGCTGTCAGTGCAGAGGAAGATTGACAGAGGACATAAGAGAGAGCCAAAAGTGTTAGCTAGACCCAAGAGAGCCAAAAGTGTCAGCTAGACCCCCAACAAGGTAGTCATCAATGCATATTACTAGGTGGTTGCAACCACCAGTAAAGAAGGAAATTTCTTCATGAAGAAAGTACCAAGGCTGGTACCTATATTAGACCAGGAGGAGAAGGCATAAGACTACGTGAGATAAATAGTCCTCTGATCTACGAATGGGTCTCATCCATGGACAGAGACAGGCTAATGCGTTTTGGAGACAAACTGCAGAAGTGCTTGAACCTGAAACATCTGATCTCTGTCTGTGCTGCGCTGGCCATCCTCAGCTCGGAGAGAGAGTCTGCATCTGGAAAACCTGAAGAAATCAGGGAATTCCTCTAGCTGCCTGATCCAGACTTAAACATCTGCTCTTCATGAAGGAAGTGAGAAGGAACAAGGTGGACAACATGGTGAGGACACGATGAAATGCATTTCACGCACATGGTGATGCACGCATTGCACACGTACTGATATAGCTGAGAGAGCTTCTCAGCGTATTTCAGTCGGTAAGATGCAAGTATCTGCTCTAACCTCACCAGGTTCGCACGGACATTCACAGAAGTTCTTCTGGTAGGTGGTTTCATTGATACTACATGGATATCATTTCTGCCTGGCCAGGAAAGGGATTAAAAGATTGGGTGAGCAGCCAGGCCAACTGGAATCCACAAGTTTGTGGATTTCAGACATTTCTAGAGCAAGAATGCAGAAGCCGGTCTTGAAACCAAAACAGAGCAAGCCCAAGGGTCAAAGACAAAACCACTTCCCAGGAATACGGAGGACATGCATTACCTGTGGTTTGTGAAAAAAAGTCACTTAAATCTGTCTGTTCTCTTAGCTTGAGAGGCAGAATTTGTGCATAATTCATGACCTGTCTTTTGAAAGGAGCAGGAAATGATAGCCGAAGCCTGGGAGACTGATTTCAGAAAGGTGCCCAGCACACAGTCCCCTGTCTGGCCGCAGTCGGCAGCAGCGCATTGGAGCGGCAGGGGGCTGCTGCCCGGCCTGCAGAGACGCACGAGGCAGCTGTGCTGCGCCAGCACCGCAGAAACAATAAAAATGCATTTGAAAAATGAAGTCCTGTGTTTCATCTCCATTGTTTCCCAGGGCATGAAGCTACTCCTATCTGAGAGCTGAAAATATGGACTGGGCTCCACCCTGTCTTGACTATTGCCATTTGCAAAACACCACCCTGTGCAGAGCCACTCAGACATCAGCTTTCAGCTCAGACTCTGCCAGTGCAAAGTGGAAAAACAAATCCAAGCCCAGACCCAAGGCATCCAGACTGTTTTTCAGTTTCCACTTAAGCACAAGTGATTGCCTTACCCTCTTGCCGGTTGCAAAAGGGCAAGGGAAACCCATCCAGTCAGCGTGTCCATCAGTTATTCAATGTCTAGAGTTCAAAGGGTGTGATCCTGAGACACCTGTGTCACCTCTCCCTCAACTGTCATTTCAGCACGGTCAAGGCACTGAGCATTTTTCAGGCATTCGGGCAGTTGGTACCCATAGCCCAGCAGCGGAGCTGGTGGTAGGATGCAGTGGATCCCACTGGGACGCATCCCGCTGGGATGCAAAGATGATGTACTTATCTGGCTACACACTTGGAAGCTGAGTGCTTGAATGAGCTGCACACCAGCTGCCTCCCAACCGCTCCGAGTCACAGGGATCTGCCGGCTTCTCTTCGGAGCCGATCCAACTCACAAACAATTGATCGCAAATATGTAACTGTTAGCCTCCTGCTAGCCAGATCAGAGCTCAGATAAAAAACACCCTGGCAATCTTTAAAATCTTGCCATTGAAGTCCAGCTAAACTTGACATATAGTTCTGCCCGGGAAAGGAGATATTATGGTTGTTTCAAACTACTTGGATTTTTTTTTTTTCTTTTTTTTTTTTTCTAAAAGTCCTCTTTCTCCCTCTGCCTCTCTGCAAGTACACACAGACAATGATCTGAGAGCGTGCAAGAGAAAATGCTTTACTTTTTCCTGAAAGCTCTCTGCTGAAGATGGTGTTTCCCCACCTCCACGCTGCTGACAAACGCTGATGTAAACAGCATACATACGCCTGTCTAAAAGGCCACGGGGGTTTTCACGTGAATCCTGTGTTTTTTCCACAAACCCCGTTACACCGTATTTCAGCTTAAAATATCTCTCCTCGTTTCTGGTTAACCTACAAGCCCTCTAAGGCTCATGCAGTTTACAGTAGTAGGCAAAACCACTTAGCAGAACCAAATTTTGAATATAGGTTCTTCAGCTGCAGAGCTCTGGCATGAAACCTTTTCAAGAAACAATTGTGAGCATGGCCATATTAAAATCAGAGAAACCAGTATTGACACAAATCACACACTGAAATCGTTTGAAAAAAACACCAGCTATGCCTTCAGCACCGACGGGAGTAAACCGTGTCACTTGTAACGCCACCGAAATCATAACAGGAAGGAAGTAGACCTCAGAAACTATAAACAGAAGTTAACAGAAGTAGGAAGTACTTCAAATGCTTTCACGTAGTGACTGTAAAAAAGATACTAAAAGGAGAAAATGTTTTCAGGGTTTTTCTTCTCCTTTGCTTTTTTTTTCTTTTTTTCCACTTTACGTATCCATTAGTTATTTTGAACAGTAAGAGATGGCCACAAAAGTCAAATGCAGCTTTAAAGCCCTCACACGCAAAATAATTTATGGTACAAATCAACAGCGTGATTTTTCCTTCCACTCTTCCCCCTGCCCCATCCTGCCAAGAGAAATATCTCAACCTCTTTGCTTGGTTAAAGTAAGTCAGTCTTTCACCTGCATCTCTCTACATTCAAACTAAGCAAGTTGTGTTTGGCCAGAATGTAGCTGGTGCTCTTCTCCTTCCCTCTTCTCAGCCGCTGACTTTAAATCATGCTCCTTTAAGGAAAATAATTAAAAGCTCATTCCAAAGCCAAAAATGATAATGCACTTCCATAGTCAACACAAGCCTCCACATAGAAAAGAAAATGCTCCCCTGCCCCCCCCCCCCCCCCCCTCACAACATTTTACTCACAAATCTCGTAATTACTTTTCACACCTTGCTCTGTCTGTAAGCTACCGCACCTCAGGACCCTGATTTCCAGTAAACAGGGGCTGCCCGGTGAAACTCACTCCTATTCCTAACTTCACTATTTTAGTTCACTTGTCATCCTCCTTTTCACCCTCTCCCATCTTTTCTCACTCGAAAGCACTCTGGAAACTACAGCGACCAGTAACCACCACCTCCAGCTCCAGCCGCCCCCCTGGCAAGCGGCAGGTCAGGGGGTCCCCGAGCGCTGGCCTGGGCGGGGTGTGGGGGGGCACCAGCCCCGTCCCCAACCCCAAACGCCATGGAGGGGCAGAGCACTCAGGTGCGTGGCAGCACCAGATCCCCAGCTGCAGGGCCCTGATGCATCGCCCGCGGTCCGGAAAACCAACAGCAAAGGGCAACCTCCCTATTTTCCCTTTTTCTCCTAACTGTCGCCAACATTGCAGACATTTTCATAAGAAAAAAATCCTTACCTTTGGACCTTTCCCTGCCCTTTTGATTTAAACCACAGTTGCCCACAGACTTAGCCAGCAGTGCTGCCTGGGTTCATGGTGCGGAACCGAGCCCATTAGATTTGCCCCGCTACTGAAAATAAGACATACGAATCAAGTTGGTAGGGAGTAAGGACTTTATTCTAACATGTGAGCTGAAGCAATGAGCATATGAAGCAACAACCACCAGAAAAGAAGTGAAAAACACGTCAAATATTTGTATTGTACCAGTTCAGTTTGAACACAAAAGTCCCTTTCAGTAAAATGTATGCACAGGCCCAAAACATATGCAGAAGCTCTGAAAGTCACCGAGAGCAGTGCTTTTAATGTCTAAGAAAGAGGTCTCCCCTGTGAAAACCTTTAAGCCAGGAAAACACGTCAAGTAACAAAGAACACAAAAGGAAAAATTATCTGTTAATTCCGCTTGGCACTGTGGAGGAGGGGGATAATATATCCCAAAAGAGTATGCATCTTTAAGATGTATAAATTCAAAGTCCCTAGAACACAAGTCTGCTGCCAGACCAAGTACTGGTTTTTCTTCCTCACATAGAAATTCAAGTGAATTATGTCTGTTAAGCACAGGGAGATCGTGTTCTGGAGCTAAATCCAGTAAAATCACACGGTCTGCTTGCCAGCGAGGAAATTTCACTGACATGCATACCCAGCAGACCTCTTCTCTTCATCCTTGTAACGGCACCGTACCATTAAAAGCTGCAAAATGCATCAAATTATGCTTCTGTAAAATCTTTGAAAACAAACATGAAAACAAGTATTTCCTCGACTGTCTTAAGGCCAAACGCTGCTCTCCTCGAACTCTCCCTTCGCATTCATTTCAGTACCGTTGGAAGGAAGCTGCGAGTGCACACGAAGAGCAGAGCTGGCTCTGTGCAAGTCCGAGGCGGCACCTATTTTAACCTGGCTCATGCACGTGCCATCAAAAAAGGGCCAGCAGGACCATTTCTGTGTTATTTCCAAGGCCTGCCAACTTAATTCTAATGCATACATATATGTGTATATATATATAATGCATAGTAGCTTTCGGTTATAAGAAAAATGTCATTTATTTTTAAACCTGCTCTTCAGGACTCTAGAATTTTAGTGGTTAATCCACTAAATCCACAGGAAATATGAGCTGAACAGTCACTTAATCCAATAACAACAGTGGCAGCAACAGAATTCATTGTCAGGACAAATGTCAGTCAGGCATTAAAAAAATACGTCTCTAAAGAATTGCATTGTTTTTAAAAAATACACTGAAATATTCTATACAAGAATATAGGCATCACACTTATGAATCTAAATTTATAACCACTTACGTGTATTAGCTATTCTCAATAAACCATCTACATTTGCTACCCACCTATAGTAGCTACAGTTTCAGACTGGGAACACCACAAATTTAAGTACCTTCCCTGAGATCAGTAATCCAAAATAAATAGCCCTGCAAATGTAACAGTGTAAACTCTGGCTTTAAGTCTTCGGCAAGACTCAGTCCTCAAAATCCAAGGAGAGCATTAAGCAAACGTAAACATAGCGATCATTTCGTCAGTTTTGAGTTATTCTCAGCGACAGTGGAACCTATGTGAGATGTAGCATCCAAACGTTGAAGACCCGTCATTTGTATCATACAATATGGTTTTCCTAGTTCACTTCCCTATCATTGAACCCCTGAACACATCCAGCTGTGATGTGGATCTCCAAATTGCGACCCAGATCTGCTCCTCCACTCTGCATAATCTTTACAGTGCCTTTAAAAACACTCTTTCTGAGGGTCTTATTCTTGAATAGAGGAATGGCGAATAGATCTGTGATAATCCTCTGGACTAGTCACAAGTTCTGGTAAATCATAGCCTCTCAGAAGATGTCCACTGTTTTGTTGAGCAAAGTAATACAGCTGCCTGGCAAACATTGGTTCAACCTTAGGAACAGACAAAATGTTAATCAGACATGTGACAAAATCTCATGCTCCTCATCTTAGTTATTTACGGTGGTTTTAAGTTAAAAACAAGGCAGGACAAAACAGTTCTGCTTACCAGAATGGGAAAACGACCGCAGTGGTTTCGCTAATCCCTGTTTTAAGCTAGGGCTTGCCTGTTCCACTGCCAAGTGCCTTGCTAACTGCACACACTCCTTACTTCCACGGCCTTCGTTTAGAAGGGCACGGTACCAGTGACACAAACGATGCATTAGCAATTGCAGCCCCTTAGCCAGCCCCTGGGTGTAAGCGATGCCTACAGGCCAGACGTGTCCGTGGCCGTTCAACGTGTTCAAATGCATACGCAAAGTGCTGAAACTCTCATCTGCTTTGTAAAGCACTTGGAGGACTTAACGTGAAATGCTGGAGCCCTCAGGTAGACTGAGATACAGTGTCAAACAACTGTGTTTGAACAGGGTTACTCTTGTTTCTGTTCATTCAAGCTCTGATGAGGAATCTGTTCAACCACAAAGAGGGGTTTGTAGGCTTTAACATTGCCTTCACTTCTGTCTCTTCAGAAACCACCATCCCCCCCGGGGCTTTGGGCAAATATTTAAGTTGTACACTGAGAACAAAGACCTGAAGCTCGCCTTACTTTCGGGGGACAGACATGTTGTCCAACTCTTCTCTACAACCCTCTCCTGCTGGTCAGCCAGCCCCTTCACATTAAGACATGGGCACCATTTTAGAGAAAAAATAGGCTGTCTGTGGGTCTCACCTCTGGGAAGGGAAACAGAAGGGATCACTGCCTTGGAGCAGCCCCACTGATTCCCCTTCCCTTCCTCTCATGGGTATTTGGAGGCAGCTGAGCATGGGGGAGACAGGAAGGCAGGTGAGCCAGACAGCTTCTGAGGCATAGCTGGTGGGATGGTGGAGCCCCACCGGCCCACAAGCCAGGACAGCCCAAGAAGTTGAGGAGCAAATGGTAAGGGGGAAGCAAAGCTCTGGAAAAAGCAGGAGGTACAGGCTCACAGAAAAGCTGTCAGGACAGAAAATGAAGAAGGGGGCTGAGGGAGGGATGCTAGGAAGGAGGGATGGATAGTGTGGGATGCATTTGTGAGCTTCCCACCTTCCACCCCAGATACTCGCTAGGCAGCAGTGTGGCAGTATGGAAGTTACGCAGATAAGGGGAGGCCATGGCTTATGACAAAAGTCTGGCCTGGGACCCATGCTACTACCAAAGGGGCTTTTGAAAAATTAAGACACCAGTTTTGTTCCCAAGGATGCAATAAGCTAAGCCCTGCTGCTAATGTGTGCATTATCACCTCTCTTGTGGTTTTATGGGCCAATACAGCCAATTTAGAAAGTACCTGGTCTCAGTCTCCGTCATCACCCTCTCTCAGATAGCATCCCGAAACACTAGCTTTGAGTGTGTGCGAACTGTGGTCAGTCAGCCCATGAGCTTGCCAGCTACCTTAACCCTGAAGCTGCACAGGCAGCCCCTGCATCCCATTAAGGGCTGAGGTCCCTGAGGATGGAGGGATTCTGGAGCACCTTCAGGTGCAGCGGCTGTGAAAGCACCGCGTCCTGCACCGGCCTGGCAGCCCAAGGAGCTGTGCAACCAGGCCAGCAATAACGACACAGCCCAGCTCTTCCAGGATACCTTTCAGCTTTAGGTTTTGAAGGGATTTGCAAAAGAGATCACCAATGCCATACAGAGAAGGAAATCAGGTGCTCTGCCCTACTGACTACCAGTCAGTCCTTGGCTGATCTGGGGATTCAATCCCGCTCTGGAAGGTGCTGCGTTTTCAAGAATTTATTACCTCCCTCACAACCTACACAAGGTAGAAAAGCCTGACTGGCAGATTCATATCCTCCAAGGAATATGTTTCTCTTAGGTAAGGCAGAAGTCCTACTTACATGGGCTGTAATTAGTTTCCTCTGCCTCTGCGGATCTGGAAATTCCTCCCCAAAGCACAGAGCGACTTGGTATCTCGGCAGCGGGCGTCCATGGTGAGCAAAGGCTTGCAGCTCTGGGAAGAGAGAAAGGGTCGCATTGTGGGTTAACCCCAGCAGGCAGGTAAGCACCACCCAGCCGCTCGCTTGCTCCCACCACCAGGATGGGGGAGAAAATCAGAAGGGTAAAAGTGAGAAAACTTGTGGGTTGAGATAAAGACAGTTTAACAGGTAAAAAGAAAAAAAAAAAAAAAAAGGGAAAACAAATCAAGGGATGCAAAAAGCAATCGCTGACCACCAGCCAACCGATGCCCAGCCAGTCCCCAAGTAACAGAAACCTCTGGCAAATTCCTACCCCTGAGTTTTACTGCTGACCATGAGGTCATACGGTAGGGAATATCCCTTTGGTCAGCTTGGGTCAGCTGTCCCGGCTGTGTCCCCTCCTGACCTCTTGTCCACCTCAGCCTACTTGCTGCGGGGGCAGAGTGAGAAAAATGGAGAAAGCCTTGACGCTGTGCAAGCGCTGCTCAGCAGCAGCTAAAACGTCCCTGTGTTAACAGCATTGTTTTGATCACAAATCCAAATCATAGCGCCACATGGGCTGCTATGAAGAAAATTAACACTATCCCAGCCAAAACCAGTACAGGCTGGTAAGAAAGACTTTGTGGATGGCTGAGCTCCAAATGGAGGACCCTGGAGCACAGTGGGAGAAGATGAAGCAACTCCAGGGGAGGATGAGAGAGGTCAGGAAAAAGACAAGAGGTAAGGAGAAGACACTGACTTTGGAGACTTTCCCACAGATCAGGAAAAGCTAGCTATAACACCGCAATTTTTCTGTTTGCCTCATTTCATATGCACAAACTGGGTTGTCTTTCAATTAATATTTCTATTGGGCCTTGACAGCAGAACCTCCTGCAGCAGACGCCGGCAGTAGCCAGGACCCACTCAAGTGGACGCCCAACAGCAGCACTGAAACCAATGGCTTAGTAGAGCCAGAGACTCAAAGTACTGCCAGGCACAAATTCAGCCTCAGCTAGACACAGTCATGGAGCCACTGTCACCACTGTGCCTAGTGGGGGATGGGGAGGCACGGGAAGGCGAAGGGCCTTATTTAAACCATGCACCGAGCCAGCAAAAGAGCCTGTGTCTTCTGCACTCCTGCACTCTCTTCACTAACCCACACCCCTGCCCCTAATTAAATAATTATTCCCATAGTCAAAGTGTCCCCTACAAAAGATAGCAGGGGAGGCCTTTAATAGAGACTTCCACCTAGACCAAAATCACTATGTTCTGGCTTAGACACTGCATTTCCTTCCAGAAAAGAGAAAATTCTATCTATCCAACACAATATCCTCGTTAAAGTCTGTGTTACGTGCCGTATTTCTACATAGTTGATTGCTAAAGATTTCATTTTAATTTATATCCTTGTTCATGCTTTCTGGAAAAAGTTGAACTTAGTATTAAAACCAATGTCTTACAATGAAGCACCCCCTCCCTGCTATACAGGGAAAGGAGAGTCTTCAAATTTGGCATGACAAATGCACCTTTTCCCAGAAATACACTCCTGCCATTTCTACTCTAACTGCAAGCTTTTCAGACCAGGGCATGAATTCAGTGGCCACCACAATAGTGTCCCAACCCTGGCTTGGAACTACTGGTCTTACTGGAGAGTCAGTTACAAGACTAAAACAATGAGCTTAAAATGACTTAAAAGACAGAGTGAAGCATGGTTCTCCCCAGAGTCTCCCCCCAAAAAAATCCTAAAAGTGCTGTGAGCTTCTTGGAGGTATGCCAGGAGAGAAGAGAGATTTTCCATAGGACCCCACTTCCCTCTGTGCTGCCACAGGACAGGGAAGGACGATCCACCCAGCCATACTGCTCATGGGGAACTTCTGCCACTTTCCTCTTTCCCCCAGCTTTACTTGGCCTCAGCAATTCTCCAAATCCTGAATACCTGCAGGAGCACCACACAGCAGCCCATGGCATGGACCTGGAGAAGGAAGCCCTTTCTTTCCCACCAGCAGGATAATTGGGGCTTGAGGTCAGCCTCGTGATTCTCCAAAACCCTCCACTCGCTCCATCTCCCTTTGCAGGCCCAAATGCCTCCTCCTGTGCTGCAGGGCCCCCCACACACCTCCCCAGACCTTCCCCATCTCCTGCTACTCCATTCCAGCTGCCCCTCCTTCTGGAAGCCAACCCTCCTCTGCCTGCTGCCCTCACGCTCCCAAATTCTCTTTCTCCATCCTCCTACTCTCCACCTAGCCCAATTTACTGCATTTATTACGCAGTACTCCCCAGGGACCATCCACCTATTTTCTGATTTATTGCCATTTTAGCCTTCACACATGCTGCTCAACACAGGCGTCAACGCTCCAGCGCAGTTTGCATTGCAGGGTCCAGCTCCTCAACAGGGTCGTAATAGCTGTGGTCCACGGTAGTTCTGCTTCTGCCCCTTTCTCTGCTGTTCACTATTTCCCCTCCTGGTAGAGGTCTCCCCTGTCTCTTCCCAAGGAAGGCTTGGTTTCCTAAGGGGGGAATCCCCAAGCTTGCCTGCAGTCTGGGACCTCAGTACATTCAATTAACATGCAGATGTGATATGCCCATGGCAAGTCACAAACTTAGCTGAGCATCAACACATGCAAAAACTCACTTTGCACACACCACAGACTATGACTTCAACCGCGTGCTTGGGTTTGCACAGGCACTGGTGCATAAGTAATTTAGGAGGGGGGAAAAATAACTATTGCTTGAGCTTATCTTTGGGGTTAGGCGTCTAAAAAGAGATGTCGTGTCAACCGTTTGGAAGAACCCAGAGTACATCTAAAAAAACACCTGAGAAAAGGGAAAGGGATTTCCAAAACCATCATCAGAGGCAGAATTATACGTCTTTAAATCAGCATGTGATTGAAGCCCAAGCCAATACCCTGACCTCAAATTCCCCTTTCTAACTGTCAATTTTCACATCCATATGAGATTTTCTCTTGAAATGCATGTCTTGCTTGACCATTTTGCTAGGATGGTGCATCAACCTTGGAACATAAAGTAGGCTAAAGACGTTGGTTTGGGTTTGGTGGTTTGGTTTGTTTTTTTTTTAATTTTGCAAGGCATTATTCTCCTGAGAGACTCATACCAGTGCTGATGCCCTGTTCTAATGGGAAAACACACCAAATCATAGGCACTTGGTTCACCTGTAGCAATGCCACACAGCTCAAAAAAGGGATGACCGGCTCCCACCAGAGTTTCTCTGGGTGGACAGCTTTCCCCCCTCTAACTGCTCAGAAGTGCTGGGAAGCAGGTTTGAGGCTTTCCCCCTTCCCTCCATGGGCTGGAAGGAGAAGGCACCGTCCTGAAGCATGCCCTTGCCCTCTCTGAGCTGATGCTTCCAACTGCCCTGTGCAAAACAAGACCTTCCCACATTGCTCTGGAGAGGTAATGCACCTCCCTGCTTAGAGCAATCTGGAAACTCCAGAGCTTGTGAAATCCTTTTCACCCCCCAGATATCTCTTCAACACTGGCACAGACTGAAAAGAAGGCTTTCTACTGAAATTAATGCTGATATTTGTATACTCTGAGCAAGATCTCAGGCTTGCTCTGGGTCAGGTTGAGAGCAGCACACAGAGCTACCGAGGGCTTACAGTAGCAGATCCAAGAGCAGGATCCACTTTCCTCTGTAGCCCAATATGTGGAAAGACTATTTTGTTAGGTTCCTCCTCACGCTTCTTAAAGAAATATGAGGTGTGGGGTGTCACCAGATGAGCAATGGTTCATTTCTGCTGGTTTGTGCAGGGGCATTGAACGTGCACAAAGAGCAGAATTTGACAGGATTATTCAAGAGACAACTACCCCTTGACTGTGCTTCCCCAGAAGCAGAAGTGAGGGCTAATTCTTACTGTAACTCATAAGGTAACGCACTCCCGTAAAGGTGATGTAGAGAGCAACTGGGAGACATCTCCGAAAATGGTATCAAAGCCATAGTGGGAATTACCTGCTAAAAACTGCTGAGTATCAAAGAGCTTGCATGTTTGGTCCCGCTCCAGCTTGTTGGGTCGGTCACTGCAGAGCGCCAGAGGCCCATCCCAGTAGATCCTGCTTTGGCAAAGTCTCTTAGCGTAGAGGCCATCAGGTGCCATCCACAGTATTACTCCTCGTTCCAGGTGGTTCAGTAGTTTCTCTATGTTCTTCCTCTGGCCATTATCCTCTGGATAAGGGAAGATAACTTGCTCCAGGCTGCTGACCTCATAACTTTGGCCATGGGATATCCTACAACCTTCAGGACTAGAAGTTGTCACCTCCTTTACCAGTATTTCACGGTAATATAAGCAGATGTGGAGCCGACAATCTACAAGCAGGAAAAAAAAAAAAAAAAAGAATCACTGTGATACATTAGTACGAATGTTTTATGTTTCAGATCTGCACTAAGGCCAAGAGACAAGTTTGCATGAGATTTCTGAGCCTGGTTGTCACCAGGTCACACCCAGAAGACAGGCTCTCATTAGCAAAAATCATCAAAAGAATATAAACACTAAAACTTTTGGGGCACAGCAGCATTAATGTGCCCTCATTTTATTATAAGGAGTACTGATGTGGGAATTTGGTAGGCACTAACATCCCGCAAACTTCACATTTCCGTTCAAAAGGAAAAGTCTGCACGTAAAAAGTTGTTGTTCGTCACATTTTCCAAGTTCACATCACAATTAAACCCACCGGCTCAGCACACTTCCTCAGATTTGATCAGGAAGTAGCCGTGCTTCTCCCCAGATTTTGCATAAAAGAGGCTTCTGCACAGGGGACCTGCAAACTTGCACTCAGCTGCCTGAAGAGAAGCGACTGCTGGCTCCCGCTCCAACAGGGCTGTACCTGAAATCCCCAGCCTTACTCTCAAACGGCCATTCGGTCAACTTGGCTGACCCCTAAGAACCCACACAGCACTGAATATATATATATACACATATATGCATAAAAAATATATATGTGTGTATATAACCTACGTCTATATATATACACACACACACAGATATACACAGGCACACACACAGACACACACATATATATATATACATACATACAGGCCCTGATTCAGGAGAACAATCCTGCTCAAGAAACCTGCCAAGCATCACGTTACAGGTTTATCCATTATTTCTGAGAAAAGCAGATTCCCACACCTTTTCCCAGAGTTATTCAGAAAGTCCCCCAGCATCCGGCCGGCTACAAACCTGGCTGAAATAACTTCCCTTTTCTTCCCCAAATGCCTTTTTTGACACCAGGAATAATGAAGCAGAGCAAAGCCAGGTGGCACCAGCAGGAGCACAGCAAGGTACCCAGATAACACCAGCTTTTGCAGGGGGCTCTTCCCAAATGAAAAAATAAGCTAAAAGTCACTGACAACCCCAAAGTTTCCAAACTCCCCCGGGAAGGCCTGATTTGGTGGCTCACCGAAGCAACCCAACACTAACATCGTGAGCCAGCCAGGGACTTCCATTAACTTTACCCACAGTCCCCCGATCTCCTGGAGCTGCGGCTGCAAGTGCTTAACTATCCTAGGAAACAGAGGCTTAAGCCCACACACCGAATTAATTCATTAAAGAGGTTTCTTGGTTGTTTTTTTTTTTAATTCTTTTTTCTTCTCATTGGAAAGTTTTGGTTTTTTTTTAATTCTTTTTTCTTCTCATTGGAAAGGAGAGACGGTGCCAGGGCAAGCCAGAAGTGGGACTCTCTTGTCAAGCTCCCCAGAAAGCCCGGGGGGGTCACGAACCTTACCTGACAGGGCGAGGGCTTCACCAGACCTTATGCTTGGCTCAATCGGGATGCCAGGAGTCTGGGACTCAGGAGGGGCACAAGCATAAAAGGTTCCTGTCACCTGACAACCTGTTTTCACAAACAAAAGTCAGTGACAGCTGCCTAAATCCTAAAAGAAAAGCTCGGGCAGAGATCACAGCGACGCAAAAGTGAGTTTTTCTGGGCCCTACCAGGAACTCCTCTCTCTTCCCCCCTTCTTCTTAAAAAGGTCTTATTTCCCATTTTTTCCAGGTATGCCAAGTCTACCAGTCTCTCCAGATGTTATTTGGACTGTTTTTTTATTTGGGTCTACATTAAATACTCCCTTGTCATTTCAGCATTCCCCCTAGTACTTTTTCCTTACCTAATGTGTTATTCTATTACAGAAATAATTTACATTCTTAACTATAGTGCTCTTAAAAGCTGCCTGCATAAAATAATCCATTCAGTATAAGGAATTTTACTAAAGCCAGGTATAACAATAAAGCTGGAATTAACACTGTTTAAAAAGCAGGTAAAGAACATTGTGCAGCAGGAGATTACTAGGGGTTTACTACCAGGAGTACTACTATTAGACTCTTCCAAGAGATGCCCATCAGTAAGTGGATTACAACACGGGCAATTGATGTTTTCCTCTGTTTCTTAATGCCAGTGAAAATCTCTGGAGGATGATACAAGAGACTTGCAGACCAGTGCACGCTACTTTTCCCAATGGCAGAACCCACCACGATCAGGAGCTGGAGCCATGCGGATACAAAACACCCGCATCTCTTGGAGAAGTCTTAGAGCCCAATGAGGAACCCAATACCAGCCACTAACAACTGCCTCCAAATTCAATGCGGCGTCCAAATGTGTGTTTAACTGCTGCAGAGGATGTACTTAAGGGCAGAATTCATTCAGCCTGATACCTCGATTTTTTTATGAGCAAACAGCTCAACTAGAAGCAAAGGATTCTGCCTAATAATTCCAACATCCTGCCAGCACACGTTGCAGTGCACTGAGCATTTGCTTTTTAGCAGACCCAAAGAAACAGGAGTTTATATCTCTGCACCAAAACCTCTAGAGAACTGCCCTCTGAAAATGTAGCATCCGCTCTAAGAAGCCCTTCCTCGCCTCCCAGCCTTTCCTGCCCTTCTGAACCAGCTGCTTCTCCTCACAAAGCAAAAGCCCACGTCCTCAGGTGAGTTATTCTGCAAGGGTCTATGGCACACTGTTCCCTTTCTCTTATGTTTTATCCCCTGGAGGCTTCAGCGCTGCCGATTTTCACAGTTCAGGCTTTTTCCTAAGGATGCAGAGCTTGGAAAGCCATGATTATGTTAGAGTCTGGTACTGTGCGATCTTCAGGGAAGGGAACATCCCTTTATTCTGTTTCTGCTGTACCAGCCCCAAGAGAGACTCAACCCATGACAAGTTGTCCCACTGCCACAGCACTAAAATCAAGTAATAATTTCAGCTTTCCTCTCGGGAGAATAATGCCATTCTAATCCACAAGGCTGAGGGGAAAAAACCTCGCGGATGTGTACCTCAAAAGGTCCCAAAATCAGAAAGCAAAGCTAAAGAATGCATGTTCCCATCTGGGGGTTTTTGGGAGGGGGTCGGTTCCCTTCTTATTGCTCAGGGCTTTGGAGACAGCTCAGGACTTTGGGGGTCTGACTTGTATCAACTCAGAGGACTGCATAGCTCACACACCGCCTGTATGGTGGCAGCGAAAGCAAGAGCCAGGACAAAGGCTCTTGCCACGGGCCCTGTGGCTCTCCCTGCTGGGAGCCCAGCGCTCCTCTCCGGCCACTTCTTTTAATTCCACCAAAAGCCACGAATAAGAAACCTGAAATCTGTGGTCCTTCTAGGTGACCAACCTCAGCAAGCAACCCTGAGCGGGAGCGTCTTACCATTTTCACAGCCAGGCCCTTGCCAGTGATGACTGCGAGCTGCGAAGGGGACGCTGGCACACTGGTAAGGGATGTCAGGATGCGGCTGCTCCGGGGCAAACTCCCTCCAGTTCCGTTCGTGGGGCACCATGTAGTTTGGTACCTATTCAATTTAACAAGATATTCTTTTACTCGGCAGCTGTCAAAACTAATGCTCTGCATCACACCAGCTTTCACATTTCGGCTCCTTGATTTGCTCTGCCAAAGCCCGCAGAGGTCTAAGCATTGCCCAGGCTATGCGAATGGCACTTCGCCACCACCACCAATGAGGCTTTCAAATGAACTTCTCTCCACTGGTGTAAATAATAAGCAGGGTGGAATAACAAAAGGCAATCCCGGTATGGCTGGTAAATGTCTGCTTGGAAGAGCAAGGCTTCATTGGGTGCTTACATTCTGGCATCAACAGAGTGGCCGTGCACTAGTATCTATCGCCCAACAGAAAAGAGCTATTACTCAGGGATAAACAACACCAAGGGAAGTCAACTGCCCTGGGGCCTCATATGACATTAGAAAAGTTGCTTCTCGATTTCTCAGTTTTCATAATAAAGTTTCTTCCCAGAGAGAATTAGAGAGCCACGCCAGCAAAGACAGACATAGCACATAGCACAGAGATGCTGCTGCTCAATGTACAAGCACCAAGCGAAATGCGTAACTGATGTCATACCTGAGATGGTAGTGAAGTGTAAGGAGACGTTATCGGAAAGGGATGGTTCATCATTAACGGTTGCTCCTCCATGCTGATCTGTTTTGCACCTATGTTCACCAGAGGGATGAAAACAAATGGTGTCAACCACATCTTAAGGAAATCTGAAATTGGCACATCGAAGACAAACCCATACAACCTGCCTTTGAACAAGCAGAGGACTAAAATGCCCTCCAGCGCCTGTTTGGGACAGAATTCCCAGCCCTCCCTTGCAGGCAGCTCCTGGAGGCTGCTGGGCTCCCCGGTGCC